CAATCGTCATCTGTCGTCTGTTGGGCGGCCTCTCGTCGGCTGGTGGTTCGGTCACTCTTGGGATGACGGCTGATATGTGGGAAGCAGACGACCAAGGATTTGCTGTTGCATATGTCGTTCTGTCCTCTGTCGGGGGAACAAGCATTGGACCTATTTTTGGTGGTTTCATCCAGGAATACCTCTCCTGGCGATGGAACTTCTGGATTCAACTGATCTTCGGCGGCGTCACGCAGTTGCTGCACTTCTTTCTGGTCACAGAGACGCGCGCAACTATCTTGCTAGACCGGGAGGCCAAATGCCGCCGGAAGACGGGCGAAGATCCCAATATCTATGGCCCTAACGAGCTCAAAAGCCCCAGACTAGATGCGAAAGAGTTCTTGCGCATCTGGCGGCGACCCTTTGAGATGTTCATCCGTGACCCAATCGTGCTGTTCTTGTCTCTTCTGTCTGGATTCTTTGATGCTCTGATTTTTACCTGTATTGAGTCTTTCAACCCTGTTTTTGCGCAGTGGAACTTCAGCACCGTCGCCACCGGGTTGACTTTCATTGCCATCGTCATCGGTTATTTGCTGGCGTATGCAATCTTCCTCCCGGGTCTCGCCCGCCAGAGGCACATCCGGAAGAAGCAGGGCAATGCTGCGTCTTCCGGAACGGCGTCTGCTGCTGCTGCTGCTCTTCCTCGCGCCGCTCGAGACGATTGGTCTCTTCGGCTTCGCGTGGACGTCCATGGGGCCTGAATACACGCCTTGGATTGCGCCGCTGATCTTCGCCTGTCTGATCGCCATTGCCAACTATTCCATCTACATGGCCACGATCGACTACATGGTCGCTGCGTACGGCGTCTATTCGGCATCGGCAACGGGCGGCAACGGTTTCGCGCGTGATCTCCTGGCGGGCATTTCGGCCATGTACGCGACGTTCATGTACAGCAACATCGGCAAGAAGTTCCACCTGCAGTGGGCGAGTACCATCTTGGGATGTCTGGCCTTCCTCGTCACCATCCCGATTTATATCTTCTACTGGAAGGGTCCGCAGATCCGCGCAAGCAGCAAGTTCGCCCAGACGCTGGAGGCAGATCGCAAGTTGCGTGACGAGCGGCGAGCCAGCCGAGCCAGCGCACTCACAATGGAAGAGAAGCCTTCTCGAGCGTAAATCCTATCTCCCTGTATTCCTTTTTCGTATAGTCAGACCTTTCCCCCTTCCTTCATTTCTCGCATAGAAGGAGATTTTAATCAATCCATTGCATAACGTAAGATACCTCCGATGACTTAGACACAGTCTTGATGTGTTTCTTTCTTGCATAGAACAAAAAGCACTTCCAATCGCGAAGCCTGCGAGGCTCTATCTATCTGACTAGATAGAAATGTGCCGGTCACTTTCTAGGTACCTACCCTCATCGTCAGCATCGTGACATAATTCTTTTTTTTTTTGCACTGCCGTGTATATACACATCATCATGACATGACATGATAACGAAATAAATTCGATTCGATTTGATTCCGCCCTCCCTTCCCTTCCCTCCCCTTCGCTTCCTTTTCCATGAAAAAGGGAAACGAAAAGAAAATGAAAAAAAAAAAGAGAGAGATGCAGTACAGTATTTACAGTATCAAAAAAGGGGAAAAAAAAATAACAATCTTCGTAGTAAGTAAGTAATTAAGTAAGTAAGTCCAGAAAAATCTCCCGCGATGATCAATCAGTTCGTTCGTTTTGCTGAACTGAACTGAAACTGAAGGAATTGTACATACGGAGTATTAATAGGCTTGTCGAATTTTTTTTTATTTCCTTTTTTTGAATGAACGGGTTGGGTTGGATTGATATATGCCTTTTTTTTTCCCTCTTTCCTTCCTTCCTTCCTTGATCTCCTTTTAAAGCTTTGGTGGCTAATGATAGAGCCGGTGAGGAATAAAAAAATAATGATAATGTCTGAAGATTGATGATGACGATAATAATGACGGATGAATCATGATGAGTATTAATTACATATACCACGAAACTGCAACTGCAACTGAATCAAACCCTAACGCCGTTTCCAAATCCCAGATATGATGATATGGTAGCCCGTGGGAGAACTGCAGAATTCTGTCAAACTCGTAACATTGCGAAGAAATCTCACCAGGAGATTCAAAGGGAAGAAACACAAACAAAAGGACAATATCTGCATGGTTTTCCTTTTATGGTGATTCACCGGCCTGGTTGCTGGAATTATTCTCGCTAGTCTGGTTCGAAGAATCCTCACCTGCGCCGAGCCTGCGGCCCACGGTGCGAGATAAACCAGCTGCCGCCCACCACTCCTCGGGAATATCCTCCCTGCGGGCAAGCCGATCGACAATGGCCTGCATCTGCTGCAGGTCAAGGTCCGAGGCTGGATCGTGAGAGAGCAAAGAAGAGATGGAAGGAAGTGTGGTGCGTCGTGCGAGTATAGAGATGGGTGGTTGGTTGTCTTGAGTAGACCCAACCGTGGACGCATACCGGAGTAGACGGGAACGCGCCCGATTGCGTCGTTGGGCGGCCGACGAGCGAGGGTCTAGATCGGATTCTGCCTCGGTGTCGGAGTCGGAAGAAAACTCGGGGAAATCGCATGGGTTGAAGAACTCCGGGTAAGGGTCCAGGATCATATGCATCGTCGTGGACGGACCCAGAGATGTTGCCTGCGCCAGCGACGTATTACCTGAGCGGGTTGAGCTGCTACTCCGCGCCTGGTTGCTCGAAGCTGAAGCGGCCGTCGATGTGAAGGAGGAATCGGCGCTGGGAAGATGCACGTCGGGGGTGATTGTGGTGAGAAGCGTCTCCCACGTGTCGTTCAAAGGGTCGTCTTCCGGGCTGATGCTCCGCTGGCGGTCCCCCAGGCCGTCAATGGTCGGGCGACGCGACGCCGCGCTCTGGTTGGCCTCGCTCACAGATCGGTTCCCGACTCGTCGCAACAAGCGAATCTGGGGCCCTGAAGTGTCTTCGCCCGACGGCGCGTCTGGTCGAGGAAACGGGGAGAGAGAGGCCACGTCTGCATGCGGCTGCGACGAGATCTCGCTGTGATACGCGAAGGCGGGTGCAAACCGCGGAGTAAACGGGAGGTTCTCCGACGTTTGGCGATTGCTCGCATCTTCCCCGGAAGAGGAGCGGTTCAGCGAGTCGCTCGTGGACCACGGCGGACTGGACACCTCAAAGCGCAGAGTCGACTCTCGCGGGATTCTCAGGCGTCTACCCGGCTGGCTGTGGCGCAAAGCATCCCGCAGTATACGGTGGCCTGCTTCGCGTCTGGCAAAATCCGACAGGAGCGAACCGCCACCGGCCACGTCGAGGAGGGCGGCGTTATCTGGCGACCGTGTCTGGCGCCTGGAGCTCTGGGATTCACGCTCGATCTCGCGCTGGATCTCTTCGGACAGCTGGCGAGGCAGGGACGAGCGAAAAGGGACGCTGCCTCCAGTGGTGCGCGGCAGACGATGGCGGATGGCACCCTGGCGACGGATGGAGGAGCGGGCATGGGCGGAAGGGTCGCTCTTGAGCGCACTCTTGGGCCCTGCAGGGGAGGGTTCACGGTACATCCTGCATGGTTGTCAGTTGGCGACCACATGCTTGACACAATTTCGGCGGCCGATTAGGCTCTGAGCAGCCACTGGCGGCGCGCAACAACAAATACACGACAGGCGCGGACCGGATCAACTTACGGAAGCCCCATGGTGCCGGGAGATCGAGCTCAGACGACGGCGCAAAGAAAGGCCTCAGCGAAGAGAGCGCTCAGAGGAGGAAAGGCAAGAAAGAGTAAGGTTGGGGGATGGACGAGTTGCGAATAAGGGAATGGGGGCAGTCGTATGATGGAGGAAAAGTCGAGGCAAAACGAGACGGAAGGACGGGGGCGGCGCGCGCGAGAGGAGGCGGGAAGGACTCGGAGACCCGACAGCCGGGCTGATTGGCTGCACGAGATCCCAGATCAGCTGCCAAGCGACCCGCCAGATGCCACCGCCGCCCGCCAATCAGCGCGCCCGCGATCGAAGACAACAAATGCAGCACAGCGCGGAGAGAGCTGCAATACCGCGGCAACGACACACGCTGCGTGCAGTATCTGATTCTGCGCCTGTTGCCTCTGGAACCAGCGATAGAATGACGCGAAGGAAGGACAGTCTTGGCTGTTATCTTAAGCAACAGATCACGTGATGCATCGCCAAAAATAACCTGATGGTTGCCAGGATCATCAGGCATGAAATTCAGGCATCAACTCCGATAAGCGGCGATAGGACGAAGTCCCGCGAGAATATCCATCTGTGCCACAGTACTCCGTACATCTGTGGCTCCCCAACTCGCAGGACCTCCAATGCTGCCGGGCCTGCTTATTTTTAGACAGTAATTTGTTGTACAAGGTGGCCTCCCCTCAATTCATTGGATCTGCTCCATTTGAATCTCTGCTGACAGGCTCCCTAGTTGCTCGCAAGCCATGCCCAGTCGACCACTTGAACGTCTACGCCCCGCCGCCGACTTCAAGCACACCACCCGCCTGGAGGAATGATCGAGCTTGGCCTCTCCCGCATTTCCCGTCTCGTCCAGCAGTCGCCGCTGCTGTGGAAAGCCGTCCATGTCGCTGGCACCAACGGTAAGGGTTCCATCACCGCCTATGTATCCGGCCTGCTAGCTGCCGGCGGCGTTCGTTGCGGCCGTTTCACCTCGCCCCATCTGATCAATCGCTGGGACTGCATCACGATCGATGAAGAGGCCGTTCAGGAGTCCCTTTTTCGGCAGGTCGAAGATCAGGTGAAACAGCGGGACAAACAGCTTGGCTTGGGGGCGACTGAGTTTGAGCTCCTCACAGCGACAGCCTTCGAGATCTTCAACCGCGAGCGCGTCGAAGTCGGGGTCGTGGAGGTTGGCATGGGTGGTCGCCTAGATGCGACGAATATCCTGTCCAATGTTCTGGTGTCTGTTATCTCCAAGATCGGGCTCGACCATGAAGCATTCTTGGGCAACTCAATCAAGGCGATCGCCCGCGAAAAGGCGGGCATCTTGAAGAGTGGCGTCCCCTGTGTCATCGATGGGACCAATTCATCGGAAGTGCTTGATGTGCTGCAATCTCGGATCCGAGAGTTAGGGATCGATGCGGTGGTTGCACACCCCGAGACGATAGATCAGCGTATACCTGAGCTGGCTCGTCTCTTCAAGGAGCTGGATCTCGAGCCCCATCAGAAGGCAAACATGAGCTGCGCCGTGATAGCGCTGCAGAAGGCTCTGGAACAGATCCGTCCAGAAAAGAAGGTGGAGGACTTGCTTCCAACTCTCTCACAGATACGCTGGCCTGGCCGTCTCCAGCAGATCTCCTTGAGGCCTCTTGTGGCACGCGAGGAACCGGTCTTGCTTGACGGGGCTCACAACGGCCAGTCGGCGGACGTACTCGGCAAATACGTCGACCGGAGGCTACGCCAGTCCGGACGGAGCGTGACCTGGATTGTTGCCGCTTCCCATGGCAAGGATATATCTGAAATCTTTGAGCCCTTGATCCGGCCCGGAGACAGCGTGGCGGTCGTAGCATTTGGGCCCGTGGATGGGATGCCATGGATAAAAGCAACTGACACCGCTCATCTCTCTAAGCACATTCAGTCGACCCAGGGTGTTTCTGCAGTGAAGGATTTCGATGCAGACCTGTTAGGCGCGATGAACTGGGCGTCCACCGTTGCAGATGGGGGCCCTCTAGTGATCGCCGGCAGCCTGTACCTGGTTTCTGATGTTCTCCGCCTGCTGGGTGACAAGCGCCCAGCGCTGTAGATGAACGCCACATTATATGTGGACATTCAACAAGAATTTATAGTAAAGTTGTGAGCTGTTGTATTAATTAAAATTAGAAGGGCAATATAGAAGGATAAATCTCTATATTCATGATTTCATCAAGCAAAACAAGACTATGCACCATGCTGTAGTCAAGTAAACAAATGCAGTGCCAGCACCGAGTCTACAAGTAGTCCTGACTTTTTATCTGGAACTTTTTTTTTCTTCTTAAAAAATCGTAAAGCACACCTGAGTTGATTTTCCTCTTAGAAAAAAAAATTCACTTAAAAATACTGCTCTTAGGGCTTGTTGTGGGGGCTGCTAAACAAATGCTCCCGCCTGCGTCATCCCTGTCAGTGTGCATCTGCGGAGACACGCCCAATTTGCTTGGCTTTGTTTGCAGACACAATTCCCTTGTTTACAAGACAGACTGTGAGTGCTACAATCGCCTTTTCCCCTGGATCTGCTCATATGAGCGCAATCTCGCTGATAGTCCACGTGGACCTTGAATAGGAGCAAGTCTCGAGATGCTGTGATGCGGGCGTCCACGAGAGGATCCCGCCCGTATCGCCATATCTCCGTGTATAATAATATCTCCAGCTAAACCCCCGCCGTCGCACATCTCGCTGCACTTCTCTTCCCCAGCCTCGTTGCGTTCGGGCTGCAGCCTGCCATCACACGTGGGACAGTGTTTCGTCCGATCTTTGTCTCTCTACCTTCCTCCTGACATGCGGTCCGCACCCCTGCATGCTCATCACCCCTCCTCTTCCTCTGTCTCATCCGCCGAGAACTCCCTCGCGTGCTCGCAACGAACCTGTCTTCACCCCTTAATTCTTCCTCTTATACGTTTGGTCCGATAGCGGACGGCGACAGTCGTTGCGGCCATCCCACAACCACAACCATGGTTCCCCGTTCCAACGAGAGCGGGGACCCTCACCTTCCCCAGTCCCGGACCCCTGGGACTCCTGCGAAGACTCGACCAGCGAGCTCAGGAACGAGCCCCACCAAGAAGGAGGATAAGGATAAGGATAAGGACAAGGATAAAGGGTCAAAGACATCAGCCAAGGATGTTGCTGAGCTGAAGGACTATGTGCGTCGACAGCACCGCTCCCTCCGAAGGTCACTGCCAGAACGAGAAGACCGCTGACAAGATGGAAAGCAACTGGGCGATTGCTTGGGCAAAGGTGCTTTCGGATCCGTCTACAGGGCGCTGAACTGGAATACCGGCGAGACTGTCGCTGTGAAACAGATTCGATTGGCAGCCCTCCCAAAGAGCGAGCTACGAGTGATTATGGTACGCTACCGCGTGCCTCAACCTCAAGTGGGCCATCTGCTGACGATTTTCTCTACTCATACAGCTCGAGATTGACTTGTTGAAAAACCTGGACGTAAGATCTTGACTACCAGAAGTTTGGAGACTCAATGACATCAGAATCAAACACTGACCCGTTTTCTTCTCTAGCATCCAAACATCGTCAAGTATCACGGCTTCGTCAAAACACCAGATACATTGAACATTATCCTCGAGTATTGCTTCCCAAGCTCCATTACATGTTGGATGTGAAGCTGACCAAACCAGATATTGCGAAAATGGCTCGCTGCACTCCATCGCGAAAAATTTCGGCCGTTTCCCAGAGAATCTGGTCGCACTGTACATGTCCCAGGTCCTGCAGGGCCTTTTATACCTCCACGAGCAGGGTGTTATCCACCGGGATATCAAGGGAGCAAATATCCTCACCACCAAACAGGGTCTGGTCAAACTCGCCGACTTTGGTGTGGCCAGCCGTACGACGGGTCTTCGCGAGTCGACTGTGGTCGGTACTCCGTATTGGATGGCCCCGGAAGTCATTGAGCTATCAGGTGCAACAACGGCATCGGATATCTGGAGTCTTGGCTGCACCGTGATCGAACTACTAGAGGGGAAGCCTCCCTACCACAAACTGCAGCCTCTGCCTGCCCTATTCCGCATCGTTAACGATGATCATCCTCCACTCCCTCAAGGCGCGTCGCCGGTAAGTTAGATTGTTTTCTCTGTGCCTCATTAATTCCGGTTCCCATTGCATGTCTGATATACATGTATAGGCAGTAAAAGACTTTTTAATGCAGTGCTTCCAAAAGGATCCTAACCTGCGAGTATCGGCTCGGAAATTACTCAAACATCCCTGGATTGTCAACGCACAGGTAGTCCCGAAGAAGTCAACAGAGTACGAGGAAGCAGTAAAGAGCGTCCAGGAGTGGAACGAGGCTCTCCGATCTCCAGACCCTGGTTCGATTAAGAAGCCACCGAGGCTTGACCACAACAACTCAAGTCATTCACGAACCGACTCGACGCATTCAGTCGCGACACCAGCGAAGACCCCCTCGGCAAGTGAGGTCTCTAAAGCCACGGCTGATCGATTCCGCTCTCCGGATAGGTCGGCGGATGACAATTGGGACAATGACTTTGCATCCGAGATTTCTCCCAGCGCCCTCCAGCTGCCGCATCTGAAACCGCACGATAATTTCGGTGGAATGCTTTCATCGGAGAGGCTGAAGGCATTTGCATCTCTGGATGGAGCAGCACTGCGAGACACATCTGATAGTTTAGAAGGTGAGCCCACTGTCAAGGGCCCGTCGCAGTCTGGTGAGTCGGATCCTCTTCAAACGATTCGACCTCCGCTGCGGAAGCCATTCGACGAAGAAAGTTCACGGCCCAAAAGTCGTTCTCGCCATCGACCATCCAAGAGTGCACTGCCCTCTCTTCCAAGCGTTCCCATCTTGAACCAAGTTGCCGCTCCGCCGACGAGACCAGTTCGTCAGGCACGGCCGGCGGCTTATTATGAGGAGAGCTCGGTCGAGGACTACTCCGACTTGATCATTGGGAACGAAGATGTTCTGGAACGGAAGCTGGGCGCGTTTCAGGTAAATGTTATCTCCCTTCTGGACTATCTTGTGACAGACTCTTACACCTGCCTAGGAGGCGGATGATAGTGCTCCTCAAACTGCAAGGCTGGTCCTGCCCAATTCGAAAGATTCCATTCGTAGTACGAAGTCCGAAGAGCGCCAGCGTCAGCTGAGGAAGCACAATTCGATCAAGAGAAGCCGTTCTTCGATAGAGATCCAAAAATTTGCAGAGGACGAAACCGATGAGGATTTCTCGGACATCCTTGGCGCTGACGAGAATGCCCTGGAGAAACCGGATAGCGAGGACGGCTCGGATCGAAGCACGTTGATGCTGAATTCAAGGCTGTCTAACAACTCCTGGCTGGGAGATCAGGATGATGAGGATGACCCATTTGCTCAACTGGAAGAAGGCTTTGACGAGATGGACCTAGAGGCCAACATCGCTCGAGACAAGCACGCTCGTGTGCGGAACCAAGTCGAAGCTCTCGTGACATCATTGAAGACGTCGCAAGACGATGATGTTCTTGCAGACATTTCCGAACAGCTGGTGGCCATCTTCTGTGACCTGCCGGAGACGAAAAATATCATCATCAGCGCCCATGGGATGCTTCCCATCCTGGAGATTCTCGAAACCTGTCGTCGGCGAGATGTAATCTTCAACTTGCTGAAGATTGTGAATGCGATCATCTACAATGACTATGAGATCCAGGAGAACCTATGTTTCGTGGGAGGAATCCCAATTATCAACGAATTCGCCTCGAAGAAGTATCCGCGGGAGATCCGGCTCGAAGCTGCTGCATTTGTTCAGCAGATGTATCAGTCATCGACTCTCACACTGCAGATGTTCGTCAGCGCCGGTGGTCTCAACGTTCTGGTTGATTTTCTGGAAGATGATTATGAATATGAACGCGACCTGGTCCTGATCGGGGTCAACGGGATCTGGAGCGTATTTGAGCTACAGGTGAGTTAGTTCAACATACGAATCGACTGAATAAGAAAAACTCACCGCCGTTTTTCTCTCAAGGGTTCCACGCCGAAAAACGACTTTTGCAGGATTTTGTCTCGCAACTCAGTGCTAGATCCCTTATCTCTAGTTCTCAGTCGGGTGTTGGATGAAGATGAGGAGCTATCCAGAATTATCGAGGGTCGCATTGCAAACATATTCTACATCTTCTCCCAGGCTGAGAACCATGTCAAAGAGATGGTGGCAGAAAGGACGGTTCTGCATAGTAAGTCATATCCAATCCAAAAAAAAAAAACGGAAGAAACCTGACGTATTGATTTTCTTCCAGGAGTACTCAAGGAGTTGAAAAGAATGACTCCAGTCCACCAGATCACCATGCTGAAGTTCATAAAGAATCTCTCCATGCTATCGACGACGCTTGACGCGTTGCAGAACTCCAACGCTATTGACGTCCTCACCGAACTGCTGAAATCAACCATGAAACAGCCGCATTTCCGGGAGGTTTCCAATCAGATTCTCAATACGATTTACAACCTGTGCCGCCTCAGCAAGCCAAGGCAGGAAGATGCGGCTTTGAACGGAATTATACCAGTCCTACAGAAGATTGTCAAGACTGAGCGACCCCTCAAGGAATTCGCGCTTCCCATTCTCTGCGACATGGCACAATCAGGGAAGGTTGGACGTCGCGAACTATGGCGTAACAACGGTTTGGCATTCTACATTTCGCTCCTTTCCGACCCTTATTGGCAAGTTACTGCACTGGAAGCGATCTTCAATTGGTATGTGCTTGCTCTCACTAGAGTTTTCGAGGAGCAGCAGCCATCTGACATTGATCAGGCTCCAGGAGGAAACCGCCAAAGTCGAGGAACATCTCCTTGAAGACCGTACCGACGGATACTCGTTCACTGATGCGATCGTCAAATGTGTGACAATCGCCAAGGCCAATGCCTTTGAGAATCTTCTTGAGCCTCTTCAGAAGCTGTTGCGCCTGAGTCCCCCGATTGCAGCGACGCTGGCTCGAGTAGATCTCTTTACTCGGATCGGACAGAAACTTCATCACCCCAAAGCTGCTGTCCGATTGAATCTACTCCGCATACTTTCTAGCATCTGCGATTCGAGTGAAGAACAGGGTGATCTCCTCGCACGATACGGTCTTCTGGACGCCATCAGGGAACTGGAGAATGATCCGGCGATTCTTGTCCGAGATATGGCCGGCAAACTCATCAAATCTAGCGAACAGAGCGCCAGGCGCCGGCCCCTCATGAGGCGGACAAGTATATCCACCGCATCACAAAATCTGATTCCGTCCCGGCCATCTACACCGCAGGCCAATCGGTCCGGTCAATCAAAAGGGCTGTTGGAAGTGCGGGAGACTCCGCGACACCTGCGCAATGGTCCTTCCTTGCGGCCCGAAAGTCGAGATGGTAGCAGTTCCTCCATGATGTCTGGTGGAAATGGGGGTCTTGCAGGAAGGAGCCGAGTGCCGCGGAGGTTGTCCAATCGAATGTCTCAGATTGGAATCCTTCCCAGTGATGAACCCAGATCTCCGAATGTTCCTACGCGTCCGTCGTCGGTGATGCCTCCTCGGCGTCGACGGCAGACCAATGATCTTCAGTGGTCGTGATCTAACTAGGTGGTTTGAGTGTTTTTTTTCCTTCGTTTATCCTTCTCTATCCATATTACGGTCACATCTGGAGGAGCTTTCCTTGTTAAATAAAGATGGCTGCCAACAATGGGTTGGACAGCGACTCTTTACAATAGCATGGCACTGGCGCATAGGCTTGGGTGTACGGCTTTTGCTACGGATATTCTCGGGGTTCAGAGTCGTTGTTTGGGTTCACGGGCTGTCTGGTTTGGCCATCTTCGTTCAGGCACTCATTTTGTCGAGTACTTCGTGTTTGTCCGAGTCAGTCGAGGTTGTTCTCATTATGAAGATGGGATGCAAGCGGTAATGGTAATGATGACGATGACGATGCATGCGGGTTCTGTCCTTCACTGGATGTATGTACATACATGATTCGATCGCTTACGGAGTATTCATGGGGTCCTGCAGGATGGATCTGGATTAATTTCTGTGCTTCTAAGTACGGAGTACTGTAGAACACCCCTGACGGGCATTCTCCAGCATCACATTGAAATGGAACAGAATCGAATGGAGTCCATGTTGATTGAGCCCGTACAACAGTGCTATGTACATTACATCGCATCTCTTCCCTGGTGGCGTGACCTGTGTGTACTCCGTATGCGATGTTGATCGCGCGACGGAAGGCTTCGCTGACCCGGCATCTGCCGAAGATAATCCGGCACCGCCTTCACTTTTTTTGCCCGAGAAAAGGCATTCCGCCTCCACCTGCAACATTTTCAGGAGTCTATTATTACGCTCGTTGCCTCCAAGAGCTGGGCGTTTTGCTGCTTTGACTCGCGTTAATTTATTGCGTCTTCTTTGGCAACTCGTCCCGTTTCGGCTCTCCGGCAACAGCTTCAATTTTTTTTTACCCTCGGCTCCTGCCTGCGCGACTTCGGTGTCCAAAAATTCTTATTATGGCCACCGGATAATAGAAGACGAGAATTGTTGTTTTCCGCTTCCAAGTTCATGAGACATACTACCCCATTCAGCGAGTGTCGCGGTCTTGGAAGGCCATGAAGCCAACACTTCCTCGGCCTTCGCCGCGACTCTGTTCGTTCCGCGCATTATTACAGTTCTCGTCTCGTTCGTCATCGACAAGCAATTGGCGGTGGTCATCATGTCGCCAGTGCCAGGCGCAGCAGCGGCCATCCTCCTCGCCTGTATTCTCATCGTCTAGAAGGAGGTACCACTCGACGCAGTACCAGTCCTTCGGGCCGTCGTTTTCGAGAGAGATACCAGCGGATACAGGGAGAGCGGATAACAAGAACGGGAAATCTTCAAGGAGAAGGGTGATCCAGATTGCTGCCGCGGGAGCACTGGGCGTGGCAGCATTCACATTCTCGGATGAGATCAAGCATGCATACGCAGCTGCGGCGAGGACGGGGAGAGTAGTCAGCACGCTGGCAGTGTGTATCAACGAGTGGGTGGAATCTTCTGTCCAAATGCGTTGGAAGAACTGATTGTTGATTTTTTTTTCTTTTTTCTTTTACTTACAGCTACCGAACCACTCTGAACAAGAAGTGTTCCTCCCCCGAGGAAGAAGCCGAGCTTCTGCGTGCATGTCACAAACGCTGCGCGGAGCGCACCCTACGAGTCCTCGAGAAGAACGGCTCCATCTTCATCAAGCTAGGCCAGCACCTGAGCAGTCTGGGCTATCTGCTCCCCCTGGAATGGACGACTACATTTATTCCGCTGCAGGACAAGTGTCCGGTGTCGTCCATCGAATCGATCGAGGAGATGTTCGTCGCGGACACTGGCAAGCGCATCGATGAGCTCTTCTCGTCTTTTGAACCTACCCCCATTGGGGCGGCATCCCTGGCGCAAGTGCACGTGGCGACGCTGAAGGAAACAGGCCAGAAGGTTGCGGTGAAGGTGCAGCACCCGGCCCTGGCCGAATGGGTGCCGCTGGACCTGGCACTGACCCGGATGACCTTCTCTGCGCTCAAGCGGTTCTTCCCGGAGTACGATCTCGAGTGGCTGTCCCGGGAGATGGATCTGTCGCTGCCGCAGGAGCTGGATTTCCGAAGGGAGGCGGAAAATGCGAAGCGAACCAAGGAGTATTTCAGGGAGCATTCTAGTGCGCCGTTGGTGATCCCGAATGGTAGGCTTTTTTTGCTCAGTCTACTTCAAATTTCATATGCTGACCAGATATATATAGTCATGTGGGCCAAGGAACGGATTCTGGTGATGGAATTCATCACTGGACACCGTCCCGATGATCTCGAGTTCCTCGATTCCAACGGGATTGACCGGGACGAAGTGTCAGCAGCCCTGGCGCACATATTCAACGAGATGATTTTCGGCAAGGATGCCCCGTTGCACTGCGATCCGCACGGCGGCAACATCGCCATCCGGAAAAACACCACGCGGCGCAAACCCAACTTTGATATCATCCTGTACGACCACGGTCTGTACCGTGACATTCCTCAGGACCTGCGTCGGAACTACGCCAAGCTCTGGCTCGCGGTGATTGAGGCGGACGAGGAACGGATGCGCGAGTATGCGTACAAGGTGGCTGGCGTGACGGACGAGCATTTCCCGCTCTTCGCCAGCGCCATCACGGGACGAGACTACACCGTCGTGAAGAAGAAGGCGGTCGTCTCGCAGCGGACGAAGGAGGAAAAGGAAGACATTACGGGGGCCCTGGGAGATGGGATGCTTCAACAGCTGGTCGAACTGCTGGGCAAGGTGCCGCGCATTATCCTTCTGATTCTGAAGACGAACGATCTAAGTAAGCAGTCACAAGCCAGCGCTTTTCTTTTAACTGTCATCGCTAACAGCACGAACAGCGCGCAGTCTTGACGAGAGCCTACACACCCGACAGGGCCCAGTCCGGACATTCCTGATCCTGGCGCGGTACGCGACCCGCACCGTATTCGAAGAGCAGATGGAGCTGGTCTCGCAGCACGGCAGCATCTTCCGACCGAGCAACCTCTTCCGGATCCTATCTGCGTTTGCGGCGTACCTCCGTGTGGAAGTGAAGCTGCTGGCGTATGAGAAATGGACTTCGCTGAAGAGTCGGCTGTTGTCCTACTAATCGTGTTTTTTTCTATGTCTTGTATATACATATACACTACTGTACTGTACATGCTGATGTACCAGCACGACAGTGGCATCAGCGACGGCGTTAGGAACAGCGCATATACTGGTGGATATTATTGTTTTATTTATTCTATTCTATTCGCTGGCGACTGATCAATAATAGACCACAGATAAACAGATAGATTATAGGATAGGCTGTTAATTAATCAGTTTTTATTACTAGCATAATTTTTCAACTTTAGTTAAATGTCAGGAGGATTTTATAATATGATTATGCTAGAGTATTTTATTTCATTCTTTACTCCGTACTCCGGAGTAAGTAAGCAGGTCCATTGGTGTCGCGTGCCAGGTGCACGAAGTAAGCTCCTTACCCGATCTAGTTAAACTGAACCAACTGCAGTCTGCAGATCCACACCTACTCCGTACTCCGTTAACCTCCGTCAATAATTGAACCAAGATAGACGACGCATCTAATTAACTCGATTAAATCGATTGCATAACTCTCTGTTAACTTGAACTATTGACATTATTCATTTTGCCTCGATCGATCGATTTGATCTGTGATAATAAATTCTTCTAAAGGTTCATCCAGGAGAGCTCCCGAAGGTCAGACAGGATCGGAATTTCTTTCTTGCTTTGGTATCAATATACCTACATCCCAACAACAGACAGACAAGACAAGACAAGAAGAGTTTCTTTCTTTTCTTTTTTTCTTCTCTTTATTTTATTTCATCATGTCCTTCCCATCCTCGACTTCTTCCTTTTCTTCCTTATGGAAGACCAGAACCATGACGACTGTGATGACGACGACTGTGATACCCCGAACACAGCAGCAGTCACGGTTATATTCCAGAAAACGTCAGCTGTGGCAGCAGCAGCAGCAGCAACAGCAGCAACGTCAGGAACCGCCAAAGACATTGGGGAGACATCCCAGGGTGAGTACATAGAGTACATACAATATATACATCATTTATCAAATCTGGTTATGGAAAAAAATAAAGCCTTTCCCTTGCGATTGATTTATCAAAATAAGACAAATGCACCCAACGTCCTCATGTACTGTGTCCTGTCTTGTCTGTCTGTCTGTCTATGATCATGTCTCTGTTTCTCCAACCCAACTCAACCCAGATACACTATACTCCCTACCCATGATTCGATTCCGATACTTATTCTCGTTTACTCATGTTATATGCTCTGCCGCATCCAGTCCATCACCGCCCCCCTAGCAGCATTCACCATGGCCCTCCTCCTGGGTTCATACTGCATCAGCTCCATCCGCGCGGCGCGCAGGGAGGCGCGATATAACCCTGCAGATGCAACAACTACTGCTGCAGGAGCTGTTGCTGCTGCGTCCAGTTCCGGCTCGAGAATGACGTCCGCGTCGTGGGTGGCTAGGGCGTTGGAGGAGGAGAGGGAGGGAGAGGGAAGAGAAGAGAGAGGGGGAAAGAGTGGGAGTGATAATACTAATGGAT